TATTAAACTAGAGGTTCTTTACAGGATTTGGACATTTGCGCATAAGTTCTTTACAATATTCTGACAACTGCATGTAAGCTTAATTAACAGATTGGAAAAAATTTACAACAAAAGATTTTGTCTGAAATATTTAACATTATAATTAAAATTGGAAGAGTTGGATTTGGATAAATGATTCATCATTTTGGATATCGAAATATTTATTTTGTTGATTTTATGTAATTAATCATTTATCTGAGTGAAATATTCGAAATTCTAATTAAAACAACAACAACTCATAACATTTTTTCGGCTCCCACACTGTATATTGCAAACAAGCGATACGAATTCCGCTCCTTTTTCCGAGGAAAAATCCATCATAAATCTATTCTCTCTCTCTCTCTCTCCGACTTCTCTGTCTTCGCCTCTGTTGAAACTTATTTTCTACTTACAGTAGTTTTCGACTATAAATTTGTAAAATTGTTTCAAACTACGTTGTTTCAGATCGGAACTCTTGGCGATTCGAGCCTCAAACTGCAGTTGCAAATGCAGTAATGTTTGAGCGCACAACTGGCTCCACATGTGAGGAATGTGTTAGGAAATGTCTTCACTTCCAGGTAACAACCCATTAAACATTGAAGTTTAGTAGTTGAAACTGTCATTCATCACTCTAAAAGACACAAATTCGATTTCCTGTTCTTTTATTTTCATTTCAAAATTGATAGTCTAATAAAACATTTCGGTCTTTTCATTTTCTGCGTAATAAATCTGCAATTATCCCAGGATCCCAATTCCGAATGGGTGTGCCGTTCGTTAACTTTCGACCATCACTGGAAAATTTGCGATTTGTTTGCTGTCAATGGCACGAGTCCTCCTCACTTTCTTACTGAATATTTGGATAGAGATTATCTCGAGTACAGACACTTTTTTTCGCTTTGAATGGTCAAATCTGGCTAAAAAATATTTTGATACAGCTTTACTTTACCACTGTAGTGTTACTCAACCAATCAATATTTGTTTTGCGAGAATCGAGATAGTTTTAGATCCATTTTAGCATAATATATTTGATTTCCGAAATGTTAAAGCACTAGTGAGATTTCAGAAACTAGCTAATTCGTTAATTTTCAACAAATAAGATATATTAAAAAAAAAACAAAAACAAAAACATCTATCTGTTGATTATTGCAGGTATTTACAAATTAGTCCGTCTTCCGGTGTTCATTTAACTCGGAATTCAGCTATCGTCGATGCAGGTAATAAAGAATCAGGTTACCCAACAGCTTCACAAATTACGGGGATAACCGAAACAGGACATGGACATGGGTCACATTCGTTTTCAGGCTATCAAGTATTAGTTAGATCTTTGTTCATCTTTATGACAATTTAAAGGTGAGGAAAAGTGGAGAAGTTTGAGTACTTGCATGTGAAAAGATTATATGATTGGAACCACAAAAGAAGAAATTGAAAATCCAAAGCAGATTTGATAAGATACCATATTATTATTGCCAGAAGTCCACTTTTTTTTGCAGCCTGTGTACCGAAAATCTGCAAGCAAAAGTAGTGAAAAGCTCTGCAAAGATGAAGATGTAACACGCTACGTAATGATATTAAACTACGAACGGCTAAATCTAGCGATTGATACGCAGCTTGTTAAAGGGGAAAGTTTGAAAGGCTGTGCAACAGCATGTGATCAGGATGAGACGCTCACTTGGTATTTCGAAAGTTTTAATTATGAATTCCTCAATTAAAAAGTTTGTATGATGCATGTTGGAATACTTTCAGAGTTTTCGAGAATAAAAAAGTCGAAATTTTACTCCAGACGTGGAGTAATCAGATACTTGAATAGTTATTTTTCATCTTTAGTTGTGGTAATCATAAGGATGTATGTAGCCATGTGAAGCTTGCGTTATCTGCTTCAATGATGCAATTCTTATCGTATGTTGTAGCTCATCTGTGATTCACAGAGGTAAGGAATGCGAATTATCAGTTTCAAGGGTTACTCAAAAAAGCAGTGACGACTTTATTTTCAAAGAAAACAGCACATATCTGGAAAAAGTACGTACAACACGTTATTTTCATCGTTTCACTGTACAATTATAATCAGATCTCATTATTGATTTATTTTTTTCATTTTATTGCTTCTCATTTAAATGAGCGAATGGAAAATTCGAATGCTGTTCCCCTCCTGGCCAATAGGACAAAAAGCATTCAAAATTATGGATTGGCGATAGGGAAGTACTGGTCGGCATGCACAAAGTTTTTTGAGAATTTTAATATGTAGTCTAAATTATTTTGTGATGTATAAAGTGTGCATCAGAATAATTGTTATTTAATATAAAGATGTTTGAAAATAAGTCAGGTTCATCCTATCAATTGCAGTTTTGTTTCTCAGCGAGTTCGGCTGAAGCAACAGAAAAGCTGTGGCCAACAGTCCTGGATCACATCCTTGTTGGTCATGTTATGGAAGTAACCGACGCACCTTCGCTCGGCGAATGTATGAGCACCTGTTTGAAAGCTGAGCAGAAATTCTCATTTGTATGCCGTTCAGCAATGTGGTACCCAAATGATGAAGATCAGGTATGCGACCCCCTCTTCATTGTCTTATCGCCACTTGTAACTTATTTAATACAAGGACATCACCCAGAGATTAAAGATGCAGAATAGGGAATTGCTCTATATGATTGCTCCGCTTGCAGAACTGCTTGTTAAACACGGAAAATCGCAAAACACATCCAAACGTATTTGTTCCTGAAGGCCAGGGAGTTCGAGTGTTTTATTTCGAAGTTCCACGAACCCGCAATAAAAAGGAAATATCCGACGTCCTCCGGGTTTACTTTCAAATATTACTATATCCTTACTAAGGGTATGTGATGAAACGCTTACGGGGAGTTTTTTTTTTTTTAAATGATAGATTCACGACTTACTTTAGGACGATCCAGTTGAAGACGATTATACACGATGGTCATCATGCAATGGTTCCAACCTGCAAAGTCGCTATTTGAAATGTAAAAATCAAACAGACGTACGGAAATGCCCACAACAAACAAAATCCTGCAAGCGAGGTAACTCTATCCATAAACTAAAGTGGATTTCTGATCCGAAACTTCGTACAGCTCTTTTGTCGAGAAAACCGGACACCAAATACGGCTAAACAACCCACAACCCAGAGAGAAATAATAGTCCCAGTCATTCAGCAACCACAACTTACCGTTGACTAGGTTACAGAGCTAAAAGTCATCTTGGTGCCGCCAGTATTATGCTATCAAAAGAACTCCAGTTAAATTTCATTTAGGGCTAACAGCAACCACAAACTCCCGACTAAATTTAGCTCCTAACATGTTGCGGAAAGGAAGATGTCTGGCAGTAAAAGACTCGAATGGACGCAAAAAATGCCCACATGGAATCCGAAAAGTGCCCGGCGGACATATCGAATACTGCAAGAACCCCACCGATTGTAGCTTGTGAATTGTGTCGCATGAATTCAACATAGAGAATATAAATTGCCTAGCATAATCGCAATATGACGCATTTCAACACTTTAATCTGATGAAAAACGGAAAAACAGACTAAAGAAACTGAACAAATAATGAAAATATCGCAAATTACAATGCATAACAACCTAAGATACAAAAATCAATAATGTAGGAACGTATCGCGATATAAAGAACTTGGGAAAGAAAGTGATCTTAGCACTGTACAATGTTAACACTACACTTGCTGATGTACAGTTTGCAACTAAAAAAGAAAAAACTAGAAAAAAAAGGTAAAATGAAGTCAGCGATGTGAAAATGCGGCATAATCCAACGTACTAGTTGTGGAGCCAAAAGCCTGATAATTATCCGGACTATTCAGAAAGATACATGAAATCAGAATAAGAGCACACCAGATGGTCATCCCTTCGTTTATCGCATGCTTCAAATGAAAAAAATTAAAAAAACTGACTAGACCCTCTGCTTCCGAGCAATTAAGAGGTGTACGAACATCCTTGCCTCAACAATTTTGCGAAAACTGCAGGCTCAACGTGTCCATACCATGTCTTTGATACGCTCAAGTTACTCATAGTAAAATATGCACAATAGAAACAGGAATAAAACATGCGACCATAAAAATGACAAATGAATCACCAAGGATGCTTATGATGTCATATTTTCTAAATATCGGCGATTTACCATCGACCGTGCAGCCGTCTCGCTTTTGTAACTGAATGTCATATTTGTGGAATAAATGACACCATCATCACGAACCAATGATAAGGGTACTGCAGCAGGTTCACCGCAATACGGTGCCCAATTCGGACAAACCGCCGATAATGGAGGTACCAAACAACCCATCATTTCTTCTGATCTACAACTAATTCTGTAGGAGTTAACTATATTAAGCAGAAAAAAACCAAAATATAACTAAACTTCTGTGCATTTTAATTGTCAATTTCCCAGCGCTAAAATCAACTAGGACGTTACATCCCCTAATTACTAATACCAAGCAACAAAGATATTAACACTTTTAAACAAATCCCAGAAATTTCAGAACCTCTCCAGCTCTTCCTTACAAAATGCATCTTACATCTGATACAATAATGTGAACTAACCTAAAAATGGTATCCACTGGTATAGTACCGAACCAAATTTTGAGATTCGTCCTAAAGTTTGAACCAATGAGATCAACACGTGCAAGATCACCATCGCCGTATAGCTCCATACCACTGACAACAGGTACTGGAGTTATTGGTTGACGTACTGGTCCCATGGCTTCATAAAATCGATATTCAGCCTAACGTGGAAAACTGATAAATTTAAATATTCAAATGCTTATGAACCAAGCACTTATAAAATTTATCTCTAAACTCCGGTTTTTCAGTAAAAGGACGCATCATGCGTAGAACAACGCACGACATATATAGTTTTCATTTTTCTGCAGATGTAACTGATTGAATAAGACTATTTAATCAAAATTTCGTTAAAATATTCCAAACTTGCCTTGTCGGTAGAAATAATAGTCCAGGACGCTCCATCACTAATCTGGTGTCGATTTGAATCGACGGGTACAGCCTGCAAGAGAGAAATACAGTTATAAACCAATTAAGCTTACTCCACAATCAAATTATCATCATCAGAGACTATTCTTATTAACCCTTATAACTCTAACATCACGATCTGGAATGGTACATTTCTTAGTAAATGAAATACAAGAAATTTACCTGATGCTGGATAATTTTATCATGCGAAAGACAAAGGTAAACCGTATCAGAATCAACCATTTGAAATGCACATTTGTGCAGCTGACTAACAGGTTCTTCGCTTGCTGATGCATCCAGTACAACATGCTGTTTGTCTACTTTACGAATTCTCTATAAAAAGGCGAAGTTAAAAGTATGACGTCGATGTACTCATGTATATCAGCAGGAACATTCAACTGTCATCAGTTCTGTGAAAAAGGTTAGCACATACCAAACGAGGCAAAGCAATTCCTGAAACGCTGTCAACGAGTTTGACTAAAGCACCATAGTAAATGAAGCCATCTTTAACACTGAAATCCTCCGATTCACCTGCGCTGGGATCATCCTCGACTAAAATATTCAGAAATACGGAATTCTCACATCTTTTAAACACAGAATTGGTAGAACTAAAAATAATTTAGATTAAAACAACAAGTAATTAAACTGATATAACATAACTAACTCAGATGGATTGTAAAAGCGCCCCATTTTGTCGAACTCGCGTGAAACCCTCCTCCTTCAACATGCAAATAACGCGTACTGACTGTTTGCGACCTAAGCCTATTGAATAAGGCAACCTAAAACAGAATTAAATGAACTTGTCTCATTTATAAAACAGATAAAGGGAAGGATCATTAAAAAAGCTAACCGGAACTGTTTTTAAGGATAGAAATGATGGCTCACTTTGGTGCCGGATGCGATGCAAAGATATTTACAGTCCGTATTCTTCATGCTTTGTTTCTTTTTGCTTGGTTTACTAATAACTTTAATTCGTTGAGAAGAAAAAACCCCAATTTCATGTCCGGACCCGTAAAAGAACTGCACCGAAAGTTCAAAATATTTGCGTTTGTCGGCATCCGAAATATATAAAGTCTTCGCGGCACAATAATCCTGAAAGGAATTAGTAACACAGGATAAGTATAGAGAAGTAAAGGGACATTCATTTCATATGAAGAGAATGTACTATCAACTGCAGAATACCGACAGTAGTTATCTAGATTCCTGACTGCTAATGAGCCGAGGAATAAACTCACAAAGTAATTTCTTCGCAGCTGCTCCGAATGTTTACTAACAATATTACAGTTGCTTACAATTTCTCGCTTGAAATAAAGACTGAGATGAAAAAATGAGACCGATTTCACCCTGTGAGGATGGAACCTTACAACTTGAAATTACAAGCTTGAACTGTAAAAACAAAAAACTAGATGTTATTCTGTATCAGACTTGACACGGAATCTCCAAAAGTTCGAAAATAAAGTTACTAATTAGATATATGCACGCTCTAAAAAACATACTTTTCCGAATGTTTATAAGACTAAACCTTACAAGTTGGGGATCAACAGTGGGAATTTGAATACACATGACATAGTACCGAGCGCATCGATAGTTAGAAAACCAGAACAATATACCTTGTTACTAGAGAAGTCAAGAGTTTGTTTTTCCTGCTCCGATGGAGCTCCGATTCCGATGAATGCGCACAATTCAGTGGACCGAGCTTCACCAATATGCCCTACATCTGAATCCGCTTCCTGAACATCATTTCGCTTCTGATATTCACGATATCGTCGGTACAAATCTTCCGCCATTTTCTTTTTGTGTTTCCATCCATCTCCAAAAAGATAAATGCACGGTGGAGGACAGAAAAATCTGAAAACCCATTTCTATGATGAGAGTTAACTCGAAAGTCTTCCTACAGGAAAAATATCTGTGCCGCATTTATGTAGAAATTGAATGAACTCAACAGTGGCAATAATAAAGTAGTTAGTTATATGCATATTGTTGACATAATGGAGGAATATTACAAGAAATTTCAATTTCCAAAAGTGGAATTGAATTTTTTAAGGAATTACGAGCTATAATTCGACTGCTATATGTTTTGCATCGTCACTTTGATTCATGAATTCCTCAGTTGAATGTAACATCCCATAAGGACCAATTTTCAGGAAAATGATTTCAACGATATCTTCCAATTAGCACCAGCTCCATGCAATATTGCTTTTTTCTACTGTACTATTGAGAAAAAATTTATGAAAAATTAACAATAGTTGAGGTATGGAAAATGGAGGAGGCATGCGGTTATTAGTTGGAGCGTTTTTCAATAGACTTAACGAAGGCATAGGAAGCTAAGCCTTACACTGGAAAGAGATCGATCAGATATAATTATATGAAGGATACGGTAATGACACTGCACGCCTCCAATAAGCCATATCAGAGAAAGAAGCAAAGAAAACGGGAAATGTGAAGCAGTCACTCAACTAAGTACGGTAGTTGATGGGTGTGTGCAAAGTGATAACAGTTAAAACGAACTGGAAACAAAAACCAGTTCGATAAAGCATGTTATTAGTGGAAAATCAAAATTAAATGGATATTCACATGTTTTCTAGGAACTACCCTGAATAAAGTAGCATCATAAACTACATTCCTCTACTGAAACAGCACCGCATTCAAAAATACAGATAGGACAAAACGAATGTGAACAACCGTCCTCCCTATAAATCTTGCCCCCATTAGAGAGTGAAGATAAGTGATTACTTGAAATCGGAAGAAAGCATTATCCAGATCACATTTTTGTGGCACTACAAAAGTGTACAGTCATACCACTCAGAAAATAAACTTTGCTGACTGGGACTGAAACCCTAACCATCTTAATAATCTCATCAGCCCAGTAAGCTTTACTTCATTGGCTAAGATTATGATAAACTGTTAGTTTAAATGAACTCAATTAGTTATCTGGAATTTAACTCTCTCTTGAGGAATTAACTACAGAAAGTATTCTGTAGCATGACACACAACGAAATCGACGTAAGAAACAGTATTTAAAAAATTTCTGGGCACTTCTATGGAAATATTCTTGCAATTTTACCTAAAATTTTATAGACTGATTCACCAACCTTTTCTCATTTCCATAAGACTTTTGCGCCACTTTTGCATGAAATATACTAACAACACAATCATACTTTTGACGATTACCCAGATAATCTTGCATTACTTCTCTGCAATCAAAAAATGTTCAACCAGAAGGTGAAAGTCTGTGTAACTGGTTACAAAGACTTGTGAACGACAAAACAGAACAGCAAAAAACTTGTAAAAGTAACCAAAATCATTGGAAAAACTGAAAAAAAGAGCCTTTAGTGAACAAATGAATCCTTCCAAAAAGTGAGCAATTGAGACCCATAGCACAATTTTTGTCTCCCAATGACACCATCTCATTCCTGGAAGCAATGAATTCTACCACGAAAATAATTCGTGAAATTTACCTGGTAAGTGGCTGTTGCTCACCAATAATATTTAAAAAAGGTAATTGCTGTGGTAAATTCATAGCACCAGCGTAACTGACATTTTGCTGTGGTGTGATTCCTGTGCCGATACCACTAAATGAATCAAAAGCACCACAGGATGACCCAAATGTGGTACTCGACGAACTCGAGATACCTCCATAGAATGAATCTAAATGGGACTTCTATAGAATCAACAATTTGATCTGAGTGGAGAAAACATTACAACACTCCTTTATTAAATATATGACTACATCGCTCAATGTCAGTTTAAAGTTCTATTTTGACCTCACGTAACCCATGCAAAAAGTAAAATAAAATGCATGGGGGAACATTAATTTGCTGCCAGCTATAAATCATTGGATTTGAGGAATGTTTTCCTGAAGAATTCCCAAGATAAGTCCTACGAAACTGCCTGGAAAGACTTGCAATAAAACTGCTAAAATCTAAGTTCTGGAACATAAACTTGCGGTCTGAAGCAATACTTTCTACCTCTTTATAGCTCGTGGTAGTAGCAAAACTTGTGCTAAGTTTGACAGCATTAAGACCTTTTTTTTTGTGTAGGAATTACAACCATATATTCTGTTCTGATTTGTTTCTATGATATGGATCAAGGACCCCTCCTTAATCTTCTGGAGTTGGGAAAGAATTACAAAAAGTGGTTCATATACATCACGCATAAAACGAAGCCACATAAGAACCTAACAAAATTTTTTATAGCAGGACTAGCTTTTACAACCACTTTGTCGACAAATACAATTTTATCAGTACCCACTGCTGTGCAATGCCCAAGATGTTGAGGCTGGTAGAGAAACTGTTGTTGCTGGATTTGATGATATGATAAAACAGCCGTCTGATTGCCGAAAGGCTGGAAATTGCCAACAGAAGGCCACAAAGACTGAGAATGCAAATTAGAGTACTGCGAATAGCAATACGAAGCAGAAGAGAGTTGCGTGGTACTGAACTCAATAGACGGTGGAGAGCCGTAACCGGTTGCGGATGTAATTGAGGGTATAAGGAAGTCATAAGGTGAAGCAGTGATTGATGGAGACACTGATGAAGAACTTGCGGACGTGCCTTGCGCTGAAACAGTTACCGGTTGCTGGATTTGCAGGCTCTCAGTTGACTCTGATGGAAGTGGTACATAATCCATCCTTGAGAAGCAGTGAAAGGGCGGACAGTCGAAATGTGTGATGGGAATTCGGAAAAGTCTCGAGAATTCTCCCACCACCAACACAAGCAAAAATTATTCCATAGCCTTAATCATGTCCGCATTTATCCTTATCCCTTACCATGACTACTTGGGTTACTGCTACTTCATCCGGTGTTTGGACCAAGAAGATCTCACAAGACGATCGAGAACCGCCCTCAATTATTTCACCACTTCAATCATTTCTTCTATAAAGACATCATTTGCTGGATAGGAAGGGAAGAATAAGTAAGCATACAAGGGCGGGGCAAATTACATTATTAGGAAAGCAGGCATCGCTTAACGGAAGCTAAGGTCTATTAGCTCAAGACATCACATATTCAAAGAGTAGCATGGCACATATAGCAGCGCAACATATGGGGACAGTTCCCACGCTTAAGATAACCAATCAACGAGACAAGCTAACCGTCGAAGACTGTTCGATCCATACCTTTTGATTATCTTGCATTCAACCCTTCGTTTTCTTTTTCCTTCCTCTAAACTTTCGCTTATCATATCCAGACGCCTTTTTGTACATGTGTGTTCATTATTTGACCCATACTTTGCAGGCAGCAATCACTGCCATCCCAAACAACCCGTTAAGCTAACCATAACATATGGAAATGAACTACCTGTTCTGTTTCCCTTCCAAACACTTCCACGCTAGTATCTTACGTTTCACCTGAATGGACTACAAGAATTTGGTATAAAGTTCATTTCCCATATGCATAGGAGGTATCGAAAAGGTTCCCAGAACTACCTACACTGGATCATATTCATATAACGACGTGATGCACTAAACCGCAAATAGAGTCGTACACATGTGACGATTCCTTCGCGATCCAATATTTTGTCATGTTCTAAGATCTATGAATATAAACCACAGGCTCTCTGGCAGCTTCTCTAAACAATTCATGATCTTTGCATGAAAACCAAAATTTATTCAATGAGAATCCTTGCCATTTAGGCGGGGAAGACAACCACCTAACCAAAGCCCAAATACATAGTACCACTCCCCTTATGCGACAAAATTTCGAACCTCTTTTCTGAGGAACACCACCCAATAATAGAAGAAAGTGATTGACCAAGTGGGTGACAAATACTGTAAGGACAACGACGTAATTTTATAGCGAATGGATGCTGTAAACAAAGTGTACATCTCTTCTAAGTCGTCTTAAGGTAGAGTTTTGTTCCATTATACACATGCCAATGTGTCTCGAACATGCGGTGCGGTAATGATTGCCTAACAGTGTTTGTCTCCAGATGACACTCAATCCATTTCTTAATTGATTCTTAAGCGCCCCACACTATTCAACCTCAATGCTACTGTAATCCAGCCATTCCCACCATCCCCGGGCACTCACAAATCCACTACTCATATTCCACACTAACTAAAAATACACACCAACAAACGGATGGCACACATAAGCATATTTATATGCACATATACATATCGCATATCTGATGTTCACCAAATACTTATCTCCAGGACACAATAACCAATTCTTGCAAATTTTTCATTTGTGTGTTATCAACTAATCTAATCACAGAAAAAAGTGGTAGCGCAATTAAGCCAAGAATTAGGATATAACAAGAATCAGTAAACCTTTGAAACCATATATTTTCCAAATGTAACTCAGACTATTTTCGTGTGTCGTAAATCTTACATCAGAAGACTTCGTTAAAATAAAATTTATGGAGTTTTAGAGAACCTAATACGAAAATCCATCCCTGGTCCAAATTTGATTTCATTTGAAATAGTGCAACAAAAAACTTAGAAACTAGCTGCAAATATGATCCTCTGATGCTTAGATAGGGTTGTGAAATCTCGACTTTTCCATCTCCACAAAAAAAAAGTGCAAAACTATTTTTGGCGCAAAAAAAAATGTTTATTTCAAGAAATCCGTACCGATGTACCGTCGTGAAGGTCGCTTAACATTAATATATAAAAGTTTCAACCTGATAAATGACTGATGCAAGTCCGAATCCCGCTTTTGTCCATGTAATTACTTACCGACACCCTTTTGTTGCGGGAAGTTTGTGTACCCTAATAAGGTTCCGAGCTATGCTGGTGGTAGCTTATTCTTCGGGTAGGTTATCCTAGACAGGTCAGACAAAGTGTGTCCATCGACTCGCTAGTCTCCCGCAAATATCTTAGGAGAAGGACAACTCAACTCCAAACCCCGGCAGGTGGAGCTCGTTGAACTCTGAAGGCCATTTATCTAAGGACATTCCAACAAAAATTCTCAAGACTTCACTGTCACCGCCCCAGTTCGCTAGGCCCTGGCATCGTTAAAAGGATGAGCCAGTTCCCCATACGCCGTGCCTCACTTAAAAAATTCACCACACAGGTTGAAATGACACACCTACCTACATTTCTGGGGTTTGCAACAAGCATGAGTACAGCCTTCCCAAATCTTCGTTTTTGAAGTATAATCATGATATTCTTGAAGAAACGGAGCTTTTCAGTCCAGATAAACTTTAATGTAAACAGTGAAGTGTTACCTGTTGTAATATCACTACTACCAGATACACCACTCACAACAGCTGATGAAACGGTGCTGATATGTTGAGATGTGGAGGGTTTCAATGAATGGGAAGAGAGACGTATCCTTTTCGCGTCCTGCTCATTTCCAATTCCACTTGAAGTCGGATTGCGACCGAGTACTTTATCCGTGCCTTCAACCTCTTTCTGAAACTTCTTGATATTTCTCACAACAAATTTGTGGAGCCATATTTCAACTGGAAAGTCAAGGAATACGGAGCTGAAAACCCAAAGTGACTAGTCATAAATCCTGGCTTTTGCAACATGCCCATCACTGTTACTTACATAGTATCACTTTTATTTTAATTGGAGTTCTCAGCTAAATTATTGTGCAGTCACAAAACATTTCCCAGAAATAAGTTACATAAGGTAAGTTCAATCAAATCAACGGAAAAGCGAAACAGTAATAAAAATCGAAGACAGCGTCGAGCAAACCATGACATCTGCCGAAAATTTCGGGTTTCCGTACAAACAAGAACCGTTTTGCTTGCTCACCACCCACCTATTTCTAGGAAAACATTAATATACTCAACCCTAGTCCAGACCTCCCTTGTCATGCGCTTATCCCAGCATCGCATGCACCATTATTCCACGAGCTCAATTTTCGGTAAACGAAAATCGATTAATTCGCAGACCAATAACTATTTCAATGATTGATTCGAAATGCTAATCATGTCTCAAGGAACGACTGAAACTTCTGAAATCTTCAAACTAAAGCGGTGGTTCCCAAGTGGTAACCCGCGGACCACAGGTGGTCCGCGAGAGCAGTGATGCGGTGAACAGAAAATAGACGGAAGTTGTTCTTATCAATGTTTGATCTTTAATAAATTATTACGCTAAAAGTCCCGGTCAAAGTTTGTTTTTAAATTAACAGAACTTGTTATCTCTGAATCTTGTGTCCTTGCTGCAAATAAAACAACCAAAGCAGTCCATGGTCAAAAAAGATTGGGAGCACCAAGTTAAAGAAAGTTCTTCAAATTTTCAAGAACCAAGAAACTCCAACCCTGGATAGTCAATATGTTGCCATGTTTTTTGTTTGCTTGAAGATTTAGAGAACATCTCACATTGCATTCCAGTAACAGTTTATTGCTACTTTTCTATACCGGAAATAAGAATTCATGAGTGACAATATATGATTTCCTTTTAGTTCATCTTTTCAAAGAAAATCAATCCATTAATTTTACTGTACTTCTTCACTAGCACCTTTAATTTCCACCTCGATTTTGGAGACATACCTAACAATTACAGTCCCGTTCGTTTCAACTAAAACTAATTTTGCAAAGTGTGATAAGAATACTTCTTACATTGGAGGGAAATGTTACGGCCGCATTTGTTTTTGGTGAAGCGAAACCAATTCCAGACTGAACGGCAAGTGTTTGCAAGAACGGATTGAGTTGTTGTAATGTTCCTGACGTTGAATTCAACAACTAGAAAAGGATACAAAGACTTACTCTGCAATAAATACCCCACCAAAGACGCCAATCAATCCTGCCTATTTGTATTATAGTTCTAAGGATGACATCACAGTTTTGGACTACACGACCTACTTAACTTTCTGCAACGAAAACGTAGTGTGAAATTATAATTCAGAATACAGCACCAATCCATTTTCCGTGATACGATTACTCTCCCTCTAGTAGCTAAAATTCACGAAAAATAAGGCGCTAGAAACTATGTGTCTTGATGGTAACAGGCAAAAAGTCAAATGATCCTACGATGGATACATCTATCCAGCTGGTTTCAAAAGAGAACATAAAAGGTAAACAAAGTATAACGATAGTCGCAAAAATAAAGAGCAAAAAATCGTAGGGATCAAACGGAATCAGTCAGCATTATAATTTTCGCACCAAACACTGACAGTTACCACCATAATGTTCCGGAATCTTCATTTGTAACTTATTTTCTGTGTGTATAGTGACATAAATATTTTAAATTAGCTGGCACAGGAGAAAAACAGAAAAGAAGGAATGATCGTTAACGTAGAACTGCAAAACTTACCGGCTGCATAAATGAATTAGTCGAAGCATTCGTGCCTGTTCCAGCAGCCAAGGCTGCAAGATTTTGGGTCCACATTAAAGCAAAGAGTGGATTTGATTCAGCAGATATCAAAGGATATACTGCTTCAGCCTAAAATTACTAAAAGACATGCAAACAAGAGAAAAATAAGCGATAACAACAGGAAATGAAGCACAGGTACACCGGAATTTGTGCATTAGGGGGTTTTTTTTGTAACCAAATTGCCGAGACCAGATGCAGCCGATAACGGTCGTAGGTAAACATGGAAGAAAAGAAGAGCAGCCAGCGGATCATATTCAGTACTAGAGGCAGTGCGACGTGCACAGTCGATCGTGGGAACAAAGACTAACGGATACAATTGCAGAGGATAAGAATCGAAAATTTTTGTGAATTCAAAAACTTCAAGAAATTATATCGTTTTGTTGTTTATACAAATGGTTAGACATAAAAGAAGCGCAATGAAATCACTGTTCCAATTCTGCGAGATTGTCAAAAAATAAATGTGTGGAAAAAACCAACCTCACAATCTTCAATTTTCACGTCCTTCATTCGCACTTTGTGAACACGTCGCGAAGAACTGCAATGATGACCTGTAGATCTTTCATAGAGAAATTCGAAAAATGCACTTAATGTTGTTAATTTTCAAAATGCCGCATTCAAAAGCTAGAAAATGATTTGAAGATTGCCGAACAAACGATTCATATCACGTCGAAGATAAGAATTACTGATAAACCTGTAGCCCAAAACGAGGTTACAGAACAAACAATAATAGAACGAAATAAGTTTTTTATTCCGAGTGATAATCTTATAAACAAAGTGGAAAGAAACAAATCTGGGATAACAATGTGATTATAATATGGGATTATATGAAGCCTATACATGGAAGCCGTTCCTAAAGAAGAAATTGGTTAAGAAACTTCTAGAGATCATGTTTTTGGATGGATACAAACAAAAAAAATATGATTTCCATTATCCCGTTTTAAATTTCGATCTGGCAAAAAACTTAGAGAAGCTCTTCGCATTAACTTTTCTATGGAAAGATCAGGGTGCCTTACAAAGGCCTTAGAATAGGTTGCTAAGCCGGACAAAGGTGAAACTTCCGTGAAACAGCATGAATGCTAAGGTCACACAAACTCAATCGGCCAATATGTTATATATCTATCTCTCGATGTCCAAAAACGACTCCTCAGCACCAACCGACATTTGCCAGTACACTGCCATTACTTGGTCATGATGAAGAACACATCGAATTTTTCATCCCCACCAGAAATATGACAGGAAAGGAGGTTAACAGACACTGAAAAGCTACTACTAACTCATCCCATGTCTGACAATATCATCACTAACAGTACTTTCCTAGAGATTTTAAAAAATAGAAGTAAACTTCTACAAGCATAACACGAACTAAAGTTATTACTGCAGCACGGCAGGAATGAACAATGACAAAGAATAATTTTTGTACGATGTTATAAGGCAACAAAAGAGGGAGACCGCAGTCGGGTCAGGACTGGGGTTAGGGTTGGAGATGGAGTTGCAGTTGGAGAATGGTGCGCAGGAGGACTGATCAGCAGCAGTCAGTATAGTGATGGCATGTGAAATAAGTCGGGAGGAAGGTGAGGAGGGGGGAGGAGGCGGGCAGATGAGGCAACCAAAACAAAAATATGATATTTTGGAATGGGAGAAGCTGCGTGAGAAAGGAAACGGGTCGTTAAATGGGAAGGGTGTGGGAATTCCCACGCTACGAGATGAGAAACTAGAGCCCTCACAAATTCTATCAAATATACCGGTTATTTGGGATGTGTAACCTTACCGCGTCTTCCTTGCCTTCCTTGCCATCTTCTGTTGGTCTCAGTAGTACTTTATCAATTATCTACTCAGTGGTCTCATACATTACAAAATAAAGTCGCAAGTGTATAACATTACAGGCAAATTGAATTAAAACTGCGGTAACAATGCAAACTTCATTTTTTTTATATAAATGAAGTGCTGTTGTTATCTTTCACATCCGCCCCAGCAAAATAAGTGGTGCAAAGAGGTTTTGTGACCTGACCTCACTAATCACTCCTTACTTCTCCCTATTCAACTACATCGTGAACTCCATATTCCTTACTCCCCTAACCTTACAAACTTTAGCCTGCTTCCACTCATCCTTGAGACTGGTAGGAAATTGTTCTATACTAATGCTCAGCTTATTGCCAAAACGTTAATACCACCAAAATTATATTCATTGACTAGGAACATTGATAGAGACGAAGGGAAGAGGATATTAAGACAGGCAAGGGATGAGGTAATGGTAATCCACGAACTCTTTTTAAGCAACAGTGGGCACTGAAGCGCTGATGAAGCTAAAAACTGGACTTTTCAAAGAGAGAAAAATAATTTTTGATCCTGCATAGAAAGCTGAAAACAGTGTCGTATTTTAAGCTTGAAATTGAGGACAAAATGAAAAAGAGAAAGTAAAACGTTTTCAATCAAAGGAAAACAGTAATCTTTGGATTAACGACTCAACAGATTCTAAACCATTGTGCGAAAAATATTAATGACAGATGCGCAGCGTGCGGAAAGAAAGAAAATGATGCATAAACGTTTTCACAAAATGCGTTTTCCCATCATGAAAATTCTAACGTTTTGCTAAAGTTTATCTAAAGCGATATCTTTTCGCAGTTGCCCGCTTTTTTTCCATAATTTTTTCCCCCATTTCATCTCAACGTTGAATTTTACTTGCTCATTTCTCCTTATCTATACAACTGTCGCACGCGAATAGAAAAAGATGTCTGTTTCTGTCCACTTTCTCCTCTTTTACTGATAACTTCCTTTGGCAATGACGCCTAATAAAGACAACAACGTTTACAGTCTGCAATTTTCTCGTTTGAAATTGAAAGGGCGAAAAATCATTTAGTAGTCATCTCGATTATAATTTCATCTCCCTCTTTAATTGGATTCAGTTCCAAAAAAATAAAATATAGAGATAAAAAAAAGAAACAAAAGGAACGATTACAGAATTAGGGATGGAAAAAGAAATCTACTCGTAATAAATACTGAAGATAGGTAAAAAATAAGCAATTAACCGCAAAACAACAAACACCGTTCGTAGTTTTTTGGGTTTAACTCGGGACTACATCATTGGTCCGCGAAATTAAATTTTCATTGAGTACGAAAATAGGCATGCGAAATCCAAATATGGATTATTTACAAGCATTTCTCTTTCATGAAATTTCTTTTTTTTCTAAATAAAAATAAACGAAAGTGTGAAAGAACAAAGCAGTCCACTGGGAAAGACTACCCGTAAATTCTAATTAATACCGCTCCATCTCTGTACTTTTCAGACTGTACTGTCCTCTCCTCTAGCCTCTGATAATGCCTTGTCCAAGCATCATAACACTAATTATTTTTTGAAGTTCAAGATGTAAATATGGATGATCAAGGTGCAAGATTTTAAATACTTACCGCTTCGATACTTTCTCTGAAGGTATAACTTCCCGTTGTATCTCAGATATCGAAGGAAGCTCCTCCACCGTATCTCAAATATCGAAGGAAGCTCCAAAGCACTTCAAAAACATCTGTCCCTGAATGCACGGTATTTTACTCGAACTGTAAAACTACAAATACATTTCAGTGCTCGATCCAAATATCCCAACAAACTTCACATAATTTCGAATCAAAAAAGACATACTATTGACAAAAATGACCTATTAAAATGACCATGTGTCCAATACTCTTCGCCACCCCTCGTGTTCTGAATAACACACATAACACCTTTCACTGATTCTAAGTTTCAGTATACTTTTCAGATTACGAATGACGAAATATGAACCTTCGGACAAAGGTAAATTAACGGCTGATTTTATGGTCTTTCGCTAACTGCATTTAAACAAAATCGTACCTCAATAAAAAGATCAAAATTTTAACTGTGCTTCTAAAGGGTCAATATCAACGAAATAACCCAGAATTTCATCCATCATGCAGAATATTACTTATGCTGCTATATATAATATAGAGAAGTACGTTAAACAAAGTCGATGCTACAATTATTCATTACCATAACATTTTTCAAAACAAAACCTAAGTGAGGAACTACATCCTTGAAAGCACTTTGTGTTTCACGTTGAGAGGTATACAAAACATTGTGGTATGTTATTTTGTCCTTTTTCTATCTCTCATCCTCTCCACTTAGGGACATGTTGCATTTAAAATACAAACACATGCAGTCAGCACCACCTTTCGATTAACCCAATTCCTTCTGAGGCAGTCCAACAATTAAACGAATGAAAAGTAAGTCATAACTAACGTTTTGTCAAGAAAAAACAGACATACCCCAGCACTTTTTGTAGAATGTTGTTGGCCCTATATTTAATCACAGCCCACGAAATACCAAGTACCTACCCCACAAAGCTCCATCAGACCCTCAACGAACGGATTGAATTATTAGACAATGTCAGAGACCGAATTTTAACATACAAAAGGAACGGCATCGATGTGCTATATGTTTTCCCAGCAGATTGGAAAAATAGTAGTGATACCAACAGATTTCTTCGTGCTGCTAAAGCAATAACGACAACAGTTGTGTGATCCAGTTATTGGTTGTTTATTTGAACTTGTGAATTTAAAATTACCTCTTCTACCAAAAAAAAAAAATAGTGTTGCAGACAGTGTTGCAAAAAGTGTTGCAGATAGGCTTGGGACTGTTAACAGTACACAACAAATATGTCATCATCCAAAGTTACGTCAAAGAGTGCAAAATAAAATTACCCTCTCCCTTTCTCTGTCTTTTTTCCTGAAATCTAATTGGATTCCTTCTTTTCAAACTGTTCTTAAAGTCTCGTTTGTTATGAACGAAAAATTCTTCTTTTGCAGACATTATGTTTTTTTTTGTGACTTTCCCTTTTACAAATGCAAAGACTGCTTCATTCGGTAATCTGACCAGTCTATGTTGGCTCTTCGTTGATCAGTTCATCAGCTCAGTGAACCGAAATCATATTGTTTTCTAAAGAATGAGATCAATCTTTGTCACTCAAACAATAGAACAATTTATTTTATAATTGAACTGAAATTGTGTAGTGTTGATATCAATTCTTTGGTACTTATCCTTAAAAAGAGATAACAGTGACGATAAAATTGAAATTCTAAATTTCTCTTGTATATCGTATTTAAAATTTGAAGTTGACATTTTATTGTTATTCATTATATGAACGATGTCTGTTTGGCTGGGCATCTGAAAATTGTGCATCAAATAATCAAAAAGAAATCCCTTTCTTTGGTTTTGGCTGATGTCAAAACGTTTTCTGTAACAGTGTTGAGGACTTCGCTCGAAAAATTTTCACTTCAAGAGACAAAATTCAACTGACTCGGATTAAATTTCATAATCTATGAACTTTTAAGTAATGAAGAATGGTAAAAGGATTGTTGACTCGATATCCTGTTTATGAATGAATTTTCCATTTTCGTTTTCTCATCTCGATATTTAAGTGCTGGTGAATTGTGAACTCGATGTGTCCAGTGCATACCCTGCAAACTCTTTTATCACACAGCATGTTTTTTATTTGTCATATTTAGATTCATTTGAAGTGATCTCATGCAGCTATAACTTTCTACCAAGTTGCATAACTCAGGCTAACGAATCGAAAAGATATAGCTCTTTCTATTTCCAAATTTGAGCCCAAGGATAAATTATTTTTTAATTATTTTTGGTCCTTAATGACAAAAATACTCACGGAAAAACTGTGAGAATTTTCGAGCCACACTGACCAAGGAATATTGACGGAACAATCAAACCAAGCGTCGTATATTCTCCTCATCTCATCATCTGTCAGAATATTCTAAAGAGTTCCAGATAATTTAGGGGTAGTATCGATAGACTGTAAACTATAGAAGCTGTGGTAATGATGACTAAAATCAGAGCTCGACAAACATGACTTGAGTTACACTGCAACTCGTAAATCAGCTAGTCAATAATGAATTTTGAAATATAATTTTCAAATGGGATATGGTATGGAAAATGTTGTTTCTAGCTCCTAAAGACGCTGGAACAACCGCCACTGTTCCGGAAATGACCTTTGAAAAAACATTTTCTCAAAACCATGTCGAATTCAATAATTTAATTAAAAGCAATGCTGTTAAGGAGAGAAGTGCTAATAACCTTAGCTTTCTGCAACTCATGAAATATTTCCGATACTTGTTTCAACGATTTGTCAGGATGAAGTTGCCGAATTCGCCATCGGTACTCCGTCATAATTTGTACCTTCTAAAACGGAAATTTACAGAAAATTTACGGAATTGCGTGAAATATAAAGAAACTCTTAGTGAACTGAGGATTAAGCTAAGAAGTATATTCTAATTATAAGCATTTTTTTATAACAAGCAGAAAAAAATTTATTTCGAAATTTCCAAGAATATAATTTATTAACGGTTGAGCATCTATCACATCCAAGGATTGCATAATAATTAGGGCGGTCATATTCACGTCCGCCTTTGAACGCATCATGCACAGCATGCTGCATCCTGAATATGAAGCACGTTAAACAGTGAAAAAAAATGGACGTGTAAACATAAATTCGATTCCTTTAATTTGTCAAAATTCAAACTTGAAAAGAATAAAGTAACATCAAGAATTGTATTGATTTGGTTTATACTAAGAAATTGGGTCCGAGAGTCAATGTAACCTTAGAAAAGTGTGGATCAGTTTTCATCCTACTAATCTTCATTTTTCCTTTACTTCGATATCAAAATGAAAGAAGCATAGCAGTTTCACTGACAAAATAAAACCAAAAAATAACTCTTGTAAACTGCCTTTCCAGAAGCGGAGGGGAAAATTGTCTATTTTGCTGAATAGGAATGAAAACCTTGAAACAAAGGCGCACCACCAGTGTAAGGACTCGTGATTGCGTTATTAAGAAGTGGAAATGAAACGAAATGATAAGTTCAATGGGACCCAGAAAAAACGATGAAGCAGTAGGATGCGAAAATTCAGGCAATTTCATTGATCGTTAGTTGTCACCCTAGGCACAGATGATGGGAGAGCTTTGGCCAAAGAGCCTTTTTCTAAATGGCTTTAGCAGCGCTGTTTATGCAGCGAGCGAAAACGAAGGACATGAGCAACAAAAATTTATATATGGACATATAAGAATGCAGAGACTGCTGCACTTCCAACAACAGCAGCTTTAGAAGTCACACCAGTCTTGACAGCCAATCCTGGAAACTTCCAATTCAGCAACAACAATCTTTTCCTCTTCTTTCCCTCCTATTTGAGCAATCGTTTTTCCACTAGGACAACAATCTCCTTGCATTTCCGACATCCCATCCTCTTGTTCTATTCACCTTGATCTGTCTTGTATTGAAATAATCAAACATTAGCTTGAGTCTTTTCAAGATTGTGGTATACAGCTTCCTGTTAGGTTTATTACCTCTCCATTGCCACCTGTCTTTCCAATCTCCATAACTTAGCACTCCTGCAGATTGATCTATCAGTTCCAACGACCTGCTTTGTCCATTTTTGATAAACTTGAATTTTCATATTCTTTCCTGCAATACGACGTAATAACGGTGCAGTACCGTGATGCAACGGTGTTTTTACAATGTGACACTACAAGTAGATAAATATGCGCTCATACCGTATCTCTCTCAATGCATTTAGTTTCGTATTTACTTTGCCCTTTTGGTTTTCTTTTCGTGTTCCTTGTTAACAAGAAATGTCGTGGCACAAGAAGTTGAGAGGATAACTTCTTGAATAATGCATCCTTTGGTTTGAATTGCAAAAGAATCGATAGCGTTAAAATAAAAGTTCTGTCGCAAACTTAACATCCCTTCCATTAATTCGCTCTTCTCATCAACGTCATTATTTTCCTCATTCCTATCGCGACCTTAATTCATTATTACTGTATTTTCCATCATCGTTTTCATATCATTTTCACATCCTGATAATTGTCATTATCGTCATCAGTATGCACCTTCACAACTTGCTGACTCAAATTGTTACCACTTTTGTTTCTACTTTTTTCAGTATCCGCAATCTGTTAATAAGTGACACATGTACTAATTAGTGCATGCCTTTTTTATTTTGAAGAGATAGTTTTAAAATATTTATGCAAATTTCTTTCCAAATTCTTCCAAAAGTTATCGTTGTTTTAATGTTCCACAAAATTGATGGATAAAGCAATATCGACATTATTCAGAAAGATTTACTTCATTCATCACCGAAAATAGACATCCTTCCGTCAGTCACACCAGTGTCGACTCAAAATATATTAGGAGTGGCTTAATAAGGCTAGTAATGCTTTCCAAGTATCTTTTTTAATTTCCTGCGTCATTTTTAATTGATTGTAAAATGAATCATTATTGAATAGAAATTTCATTTAATTATTAAAGTTTGCAAAATGTCCTAGTTTCTCTTGAAGAAAAAAATGGTAAAAAAAGACCTTTATATTGAATTTTACTTAGTTACCATAATTTCCTTCTTCTATTTCAATGCTTTCCAAATTGACTATCAGTTCCAAAGAAGCACAAAAATCACAAAAACTTGTATGTGGACAGTGCCCTTTCTTTGCTTGATTCAACAGTAATAACTTTAAAAAACATTGGCATATCCGATAAATAATTCCGAATCAATCATTTTCCCTTTGCAAAACAACCTATTTGATTTTTCTCAGCACAAAAATGCATCACTAACAATTATTCAAGAATATGCTCATTGAAGAATTCTAATGATTCAGTTTTTCTGGCATCAGAACTAAATGAAGCAACTCGGTTTGTTATCATTTTGATTTATTAGTAAGAACTATCACTTTCATGCAAGTTGTATTTTGTAAATTGATGAAATTTGATCGGAAAAGCAGTAAAATTAAATTTCAATAAGTTCTTTTCTTTGCTTGATTCAGCAATAACAAATTTTAAAAATATATTTAAAAGTTAAGATTTATCCAATACATGCCCAACTGCTGAGAAGTTTTTCTCAGTAGCAGCACTACTTCACTTTTTAAATCATTCGTTATACTTATACTTCCTATAGAATGAGTAGTAATGTCATGTTCTCCTGTACCATGTCGGAAACCTTTCATTACTTCATACATTTGCAAATATTTCCATTGTGTCATACTGCCAACTGCTTTTCTTCTAGTCGCTTTGGCAAAAGCTCGAAACTTTATTTGAAACAAAAATGAACCTAAAATACAAAAAATTGTTTGTTGATAGCTGATTTCTTAGTAAGTAACAATTTCGAAAAGCATGCTTTTTATTTTATGTAGGAAAGGGACGCGAAATGACAGAAAGAGCGCTATTTGTGAGTGTGTGTTAGTGTAGGATTTATACCAAAAACAAATCATGCATTGAAAATTTATGGTTGAAAGGTTTTGTTACATGTTTTGGTATTGAGAATCACATTATTGAAAGGCGTCAAAACGAAATTTTGATCGTAAAATCCATACCAACTAGAGTTCTTCGTTAAATATTGACGAAATTTTGTTGAAATTTAGACAACAATGTGACTGCCCCACAAGTAAAGCAGAACGAAATGTCGAGTTGGTTGACGTTTTTCCGGTGAGTTTATTAGATGGATGATCTTCCTATACAAAATTTCGCATTATATATTATTCAGACGTTTGTTTTTATCTTGATTAAACTTATTCTAGAAGAGTGTTTAACTAAAAATTTTCGAAAACGATACATTGTTGTCGCCATACAGTTTTCACGTTAGTTATAATTTTTAGTTCATTTTGCAATTTATTTGTTGAATCAGTTAATTAAATAGGATAATTTAAAAAAAGAAAAGGATTGCAAGAGAGTAACATGTAATGTGCAACAATATCAGTGACTAAATTGAGAACTATAAGAGATTATAAAGCGATGAGTTCGACATTTTTTAATTAAATTTATGAAAACGAGGACCTATTTGTTGGTTTTAATCTGATATAAAAGTTGATTAAATGTAAAGAATATTCCAGGTTAAGGAAAATAGACGAGAAAGAAGGGAATTCGGCGGAAGAACTGGGAACTACACCGTTAAATCCATCAATTCTACAGGAACTGGATGAGGAACAGCAGGCTCATATAAGGGAAGTATGGCTTTCTACATCTCTTTTTTATTATCAGTCTGTAATCTTCTTCACTTTGATCAACTTAAATTATTGTGTTGTTGGAGCTAATAATGCTACTGTAATTAATAGATTCATATTCGAAATGACTATCTTGATAATGAAGGATAAAAATCTACATAATCGTGCCGAGTTCTTGTTAATCTTGGCATTAATTTAACAAATCAATTCGGTCAATCCAATACAGTTTCTATTGGCTTCCTCATTACAGGTTTTTCGGCGAGCAGAACAGTCACAGAAAGAAGCCCGAATTGTGCTGAACACAAAAAAGCTTTCGAGACTGAGTGATGCAAGGTTTCGAGGGACAGTTGACGAAAATGAAGAATTTTTTACCGTTCGAAACGAAAGCTTTGTGCAGATGGATTCACTTCCAGAAAGTACGGACTTATTTGGTTTTACATGTGAACTGAGGAAATCTTTACATGATTTGCACAAAGTTATAAGTTGATAACCAAACTAATTCTCAACATTCTCTTGAAGCAATAGAAGTCACAGAGGTATGCGATTCGTTACTCGATCCTAGCAACAGTTGTTCAGAATACCTGGTGGACGGCTCTGAAGACACTAAAAGGTTTTTTTTCTTTTTTTTGGGAATATTTTTCGTTTATATAATAATTACTATAGTGATAAAATTCAACGAGAAAGCGACAGTGGTACCACTGATCGAATTCTAAGAACGTATAACTGGAAACTGTTTTCATGGAGATAATTTTAGATTCATTTAGCGAACACTCTGGAAATTTTACACAAAGCATTAAACGACTTAGTAGGCAGTTATACCGCTGGATGAGCTCCCTTGATGATGACGGAGGTGATATACTAAAGTCTGCACAAAAATGTGAGTCTTAAAAATGAATAAATGATTCGTTAAAGTTATGAATAAGCAAGCAAGTAGATCCTTGGTGCTATTTCATAAGCAGTACTAATCAAATGAAAAAAAAAGGTGGGTGGTCATTTTGAATGAGATTAATAACTGTTCTTTATTTGCAGTGGTTCGCTTTTCAACTCCTCTTAGTATAGAAACGGATACAGATTTTGCGAAATATGTATCTAAGATGTCGCACGAAATTTGCACAATGGCCATTGCTGATTCTGTCTGTAAGATTGTTCTGGATCAATACTGTCACTGGTTGTGCACTGTTATATTTACTGCTGTATATAACGAATTAAAACTGAAATATGGGACCGACGCAGAGATAGGTAGATACTGTTCCGAACTCACAATTGACATCTTCAAAAGTGTCTACATGAATGCGGTGGAATTACTTTGTGGCCAAGAACAGCTACATGCGACTTGGTCCAGAAGTGACCAAAACATGCAAACTGCTTTACTGCGTGTTTCCTCTACAACCTTTAAAAAGTCAGTTTCTTGTCAATGTATTCAATCCTTGGCACATCTCATTGACCAGGAATCAACGCTGTATCGCCATTCAGGTAACTTTCTATATAGTTGGATTTGTTTTAATATAAAATACAAAGGATCTGCTGAATTCAAATATGAAGCTATAGGATTGATAAAATTTTTGATTAAACTCAGTTTGCAGAATTCGATGATGATTGTGGGGAAGAATTCTGTTATGTGCTTTTGGAGGAAGATAAAGAGAAGCTTTCGCAAGAATTAACATCTGTATTACAGAACTTCGCAGAAGAACTCTGGATTCATATTTTAGCCTTAGTCCTGGCCGATCTTATGCTGAAAAAGCAAGGATCCACGCTACAGGAACAGTTTCCCGGAATCAACTTAATTTCATCGGTTGAGGAAAACATTCAGGAAAGAAAGCGAAACTCTTTCTCTTCTATAGATGATTACAGCAATCTCGATGAAAATAGTTGCAGTATGTCATCTGATGAATTTGTAAATGAATACACTTTATTGAACAATGAAAAACAGAGCCTATATCTCTATACGAAGCAACAAGTTCATGGTAAGATAAGTCCGCCACTTACACTGTACGAAATGGATTTGACTCGAGATATTTACCTGAATCCTTCATTTATTGGCGCCTGCGAAACTAGAAAGCAGAGTAGACCGGTATCCAGAAGTAGTTCTGATTCAGAATTTTCAGAAACAGAGTGGAATACCGAGCAACAAACCGATTCAGAAAGTTATTACAACGAGAGTTTTTACGTGGGAAAAACCACATCCGCTGCAGTGGAACAGTTAAACAATGACGAAGAAACAAGAAACACTGAAGTAATAAAATACATAGAACGAATCATCAAAGAAGTCGAGTGTGTTGTATCAGATGAAGCGACATTAAAAACGATTCCGAATGAAAAGGTTTCCGGTCAAGAAAGGAATATGTATAATCCAGAATTCGACCTGACGACTAATTTGGAGGGATGGTCATCCTCTACATTAAATACGATGATACATCACGCAACGTCCATCTTTGACAGCAAAGCAAAATTGGAACACTATATGGAAACAAATATGGTATGTTCAGACTTGAAGTCTTCAAGTGACAGCCAGGAAATGAAACAGAATGGAAGAAAAAATGTATTAATTGAAAAGGAGCAGAATTCATCGCATTCCGAGTCTCTCTTAGATTTAACAACTAAAAATACAAGCAATTATAATGAACTTGAAGAGGATAATATGTACGATGTAATATCTTTCCCTTATCAGATTCACAAAGTTCGTAATGAACAGATGCCTTCGGACTCATGTTTTTCATCGACTGACGAGGGTAGAGCTTCGAATGTTTCGCGATTAATGCTAGAAATGGAACTCCGAAATTGCAGGGAAGAATCAGTTTGGCGATTCAACGACTTTAAAGCCGAAAAATTCGAAAACTGCCATAAATTTGACGAATTACATAACACTGAGGTAGCTACAACACAGGTTGCTATTGATAAAAAATTAATATACGAAGACAACAGAGATCTCTTCAATAACGATTTGGATGAACGATATTTGATATCTAGAAAACAGCAATCAGACTCGATCTCGAACTTGAAATTTGATGAAACCAATTCTACTGCTTCGGATATTTTAGATGAGATATATTCTGATTACGATATGGTAAAGAAAAGGGAAAGGAATAAGGAGGAACAATCATTCACAGTGAAGGGACGAGAGTGGAGTGAATCTGCAAACGAAGAAGCCGACAAAAAATTCCAGATTCAAGAGATGAATATAATTCGAAAATTCGAAACATATGGAACAAAATCTGATGAATTAGCAACGGCTGAAATAACAAGATCTGAGGATCAGAAAACAGATGACCTGCGACAGATTAAAGTGAAAAATGAAGGGTTAGCTCTCAGACACTCGATAAATGGAACAAAACAGGAAGGAATAAAATATAACGACTTAAAAGTCGAGAGAGAAGAGTGGAAAGTTGAGGGTGACGAAACATATCAGAACGGTGGTTCATGTCTCATAGGGGAAGAAAGGAACAGTAAAGGTAGCTCGCCAGGAGTTCTAGAACCATTTACGGTGAGTAATACTGACGATATTTACCAAACGCTAAGAAGTAAAAAGGCTGGAGTGAAGAAGCTGGAGGTTTTAGAAGTGTCGATCGAGGACGAGCGAAAAGACGTCAGAAATGTCATACGTACGGCCGAGGGTACCAAGCAAGCAAAAGCACCAATTCAAAGTTCTCCAGAAAACAGGGATTCAATAGAAGAATCTGAACTATTCAAGAGCTCGAGTGAAAAAAGATCAAAGAAAGACCCAGCAACTTTAGAATCTGACGAGGCATCTTTACTTGGCAATAGTTTTGAAAAAGTTCTGGATGAGAAACTGGAAAGCAATATCGAGGCAACAGAAATCAATAAAAGCATCAATAAAAGAAGCAGATTAACAGCTGAGATAAAAGCAAAAAGTGAAACTGACGGCTTAGTCTTTGAGCTTCACTTAGACCGAAACCTTGACCAAAAGAATTTGGGCACAGAAATACAAGGAACTGAAATTGGGATTAGGCCAACTTATCATGCAACATCTGCAAGCGATGTTGCCCTATCTGCAACGTCAGGTCCGTATTCGCCGCAGGAATCCGTGGATGTTCAGATGAATCCGATTCAAAATATCCTACCATCCGATGCAATTGATGAATCAGTAATGGTTGAAAAGGAAAATGAAGAAAATGTTCTAAATGATGATATGGAACATCTAGTGGATGCAATTAGCAGTAAGGATACAACCATTGACAGAATTTCATTTGATGATACGATTTCAATCGGTGTTCTGAAGACAACAGAGAATCTGTTACCAGTTCACCAGACGACGGGATATGATCAGTCATTAACACAGGAAGAAATGAGACACGTTACAAGCGTTACTAGCATAGCTGAAAAGGAAATCAATGTTCAGAAAGCTGCCTTCAGCAAGGAATTCGAATTTGAATTAACCCAGGACGAACTAAAGCATATAGCACGTGTTTCGTGCATGGCTGAAGAAGCTTTCGGCAAACGTCAAACAATACAAAGATCTGAGGAATTGATTGAAGAGGAAGGCGTGAAGTCGGATTACGAAGAATATGACGTGGAGGAAAAGGAATCAGAGAAATTTTCGGAACACAGTCAATCAAAAGCAAGTTCTGCAACGTCAGGTCCGGATTCGCCGCAGGAATCCGTGGATGTTCAGATGAATCCGATTCAAAATATCCTACCATCCGATGCAATTGATGAATCAGTAATGGTTGAAAAGGAAAATGAAGAAAATGTTCTAAATGATGATATGGAACATCTAGTGGATGCAATTAGCAGTAAGGATACAACCATTGACAGAATTTCATTTGATGATACGATTTCAATCG